AACTCTACAACACCTACGTAAACTCTGTATTGTATAACACTACAACACGTCTCTTAACTCTATATTGCATTTTTGACTAAGTTGACTCTAAAAAAAATTGAAATAATATACTCAATTCTATTTACTTTCGCTGTGAGGATTATGGTAGTGTTGTGAATGATTGTCGTCAGTTACCAACAAGTGTAGGATTTAGACGCTGGTGAAAGGAAGGTTATTGTAAGCGTTCAAGTGTGTGTATAGTTTGAAGTCTTGTGAGTTGTTGGAAAAATTACGTCGCCAGTGACCCACAACCTCCCTACCTGTCCCGGCTACCGTCAACACACTAGATTTGTGAGTTAAACCATTCCCGGGTTTATGTTCAGACTTGTGTTTATATAATTACAATATATCTATAAATACTCGACAAATTTCAGCTGTATGTAGTGTAAAGATGAATGTCTATCATATCCAAGAGAGAAACTTTTATTTTTATTTATTGTATCATTCTTCCTGCTGTGATATTTGTAGTTTTCTTTGATGTTAGATTAGGTTAGCATTAGCGTTCAGTCATCAGGTGAAATAAGCTAGGGTTGCTAATCATTCCATCCGTAATAACAATAAGAACGTTATAATAGTACATAATACGATATAATTAAGAGTTCAACAATAAACACCTCATCAAAGTTACCATTACCAACCACTCCTTGGACAGAACCACACACATTGAATTATGAGACAGTGGCACCTGTAGCTTGGCACTAATACGTACGGTAGCTCGGTGAATTGAAAATAATGTGGCAGGTTATACAATGACAGTCTTGTGTTGAATATAAATGATTTTTGTTCATAAATGACTGGATTAACAATATTTAGTTACTTATAGTTTTTTATTTATAGTTTTATTGTGATTTTTTTTTGGGCGAGAAAACCTATATATTTATTAGGAAAAAAAGTTGTGTTGGCTATGGAAAAAAAGGTATTTTTTTTTTCTTCTTCGATGTCTTGGTGTGGAATTTCCCCGAGAGAAAACGCATGAACGTTGAAGCCAAGAAGCCTGGGTAAACACTTAACAGTCTCCTTAATACTGGGTGAGGAGTGAGAGAATTAGGGTCAGTGGCGGCTTAAATAACGCCCCCAGACCGGTTGTGGTGTGGACTCAACTGCACCAGGCTGTGGCCGAGCTCTTGTCACGGTCTGAATTTATGATCTTTTTTTAAGCTGATTAAATGGCGTGCGGGAAAAAGTAATAAATTTGGCTATGAAATAATCGTAGCATAGAAATACATCTTTTAAGTTCACTAAACAAATTAGGTTGGGTTTGTTTTTAGCCAATCAGATTCACGGATCATGGCTTATAGTGTATGTCTGGCCAATGCGAGTGCCGGGAATCTGATGTGTTTAGCTAACTATTTTAAAGTAATATAATTAATCCAACAGTTCCGTCACCAATTAAAGTAAAGACGTTTCTTGTAATAGAATTAATTTATTATAGAATACACATTTATGTTTTCCACCTGAGAAGTTTTTTGGCAGATATCAAACAACATCCAATTGAAACATTATATTAATTACGCACATGTTAAAGATATTGGACCGAGTTTGTATATAACATAGTCATCTATTTAATGTTATAGGAATATATATTCTTCATTTATCCATTTAACCTTTTTGTTTACTTTTATCTATATATTGTTCGTAATAGGTGGCCAGTTAGTTAACATTAATTTGACTCTTGTTGTAATGTTAACTTTAGGCGGCCGTTAAGTTCTTGTGTTTCATTGTCGCTATACTCAGAGTGGAACACACACACACACACTCAAAACCTACCTGCACCTTGCCCACTCCACCACTCAGCAGTGAGTCGGCACTCAGCTTTCCCTCCACTCCACCACTCAGCCTTACCCCACTCCATCACTCAGCCTCCTCCCACTCCACCACTCAGCCTCCTCCCACTCCACCACTCAGCCTCCTCCCACTCCACCACTCAGCCTCCTCCCACTCCTCCACTCAGCCTCCTCCCACTCCACCACTCAGCTTCCTCCTACTCCACCACTCAGCCTCCTCCCACTCCACCACTCAGCCTCCTCCCACTCCACTTCTTCACCACACTCACTTCAACATCTTCCCTGCATGCCATCACCAAGACTGTATCATAGCTCAAGTGTGTGTGTGTGTGTGTGTGTGTGAGCGTGTCTGTGTTAGTCTGGTCATGCCTGGCACCGATTGGCACGTACACGGCACCTCAACCAGCCGCTGGGCAACAATGGAGACCCCTGCCCAAGTCATCCACCTCAAGAATTTTGCCTACAGGATGGTGGTGGTGGTCCCGTGGGTCACCTTAGATATAAACTGGGGGATCACCTGAAGATAAGCCCTCCTTGATTATTTCACCTGATGATTAAACACCGTAATACTACCTGGTGGGTTAGGTTAGGTTATTATGTTTGATTAGGTTAGGTTTATTATTATTGTACTGAAGGTGCATTATGGGTTAATTTGTCACAGAAAATCCTTGGTTGTTTGGTCACATTAATGATTTGTCTTTTATCAAATATTACACCCAAGGAATAAAGTTGTTTTTTGATTCACTAAATAAATTCCTCACACTTCTCCTAACATGACTGATTATATATAAGAGAGCCCTGTGTGTGTGTGTGTGTCTGTCTGTCTGTCTGTAGTGCTTTATCATTTCACTACACTAACCTTAACACTACTGCATATATAAAACAAACTGTCATAGTTTTTTTTATGTTTGAATCGTAAATTGCATATGCTATTCTGAAAACACACACATGCATACAGGTTTTTCACATAAAGTACAGTATTGTGTATGTTGGTCACAAGTTCTGAGATTAGGAATATTCTGAGCTCAGCATTATGTCTACACCTTGATAGTGCAGATTGTCATGGTGGTCAGGTACAGGTGGCGTGGTTTGTGGCGATGGTAGCAGTCGACCAGTGGCACTCACAGGTTTATTGGATGTACAGTACAGTGTCTTAGAATTGTCTGAAGTATTAATTGTAATAGTTAAATTCCTAAAATTCCCCGGATGACCAAAACTAAAATAATACTCAACACTGCACTTGAAATTGTGATATTTTTCTCAATTTAATCTAAAAATAAAAGTAAGGCCAGATGGATCTCCTGAAGATTCGGCCCCCAGCGTATTTTACCTGGGCCGGTATACACAAAATTTTTCTTTTAATGACTAGTTCTGTTAGCTACCAGTAAAATTTAAAAGTTATACACAAAGCTTAACTAGCAAACTTTTACCGTACAAATAGTTTTTTGTTAAGTACCGGTAAACATAGCTAAAGATAGCAGGAGTTCATCGCATAAAATGGTCTTATGGCTGAATAACGTCAATGGTATTATGAAGATTAATTTCATTATTTATATTTATTTACATTTTGATCATTAAAATAAAAATAAATCTAATCTATGCAGTTTGAGGGAGGATATATTAACCAAGGATAGTGATCGGTGGCTGTACCTTACCGTGCTGTTTGTAAACGAAAGAAAAGGAAGACCACCTGGACAGACTTATTATTGGTGGAGGCCATTGATGAAAAGAGTTAATGTTAATATATAGAACTAACCAGCCAGGGCGGGTCCGACTAATTACCCAAATGTACCCAAATGTACCCAAATATAGCCAAATGTACCCAAATGTACCCAAATGTACCCAAATGTACCCAAATATAGCCAAATGTACCCAAATGTACCCAAATGTACTTATGGGTTTTCGAGGTCATTTCTTGGTGCTTGTGTATTATTCTGGATGTACTTAAATAGTTAGGCACATTAAATTTTAGTTCAGAGAGAAAAAGTATTTTTGGCCAAAAATCCTTTAAGGCAATAGACTTACAATTTTTGTCATTTCGGCCAAAAAATGGATTTTGTTCAAAATTTCAGTATAGGTACTCCTGAATGTGCTGCTTAAGGATCTGTTAACCACTATAATATAACAAAGAAAATCCGGCGTTTTTATCATTGTTTTCAATCAATTTCTCTTGCGGGTTAGCTCTATATAATTACCGTAGCGTTTCCTGTTAGCACATAAATGTTCATTTACACTAGGAGCCACAATTTTTATGTGTGTGCCATCAATCACACCCACAACACCGGGAAACACATCAATGTCAATGAATTCAGCTGCTTTCTTTTAATTTCTCCATGGGTGAGTCACTCACCCATGGAGAACTTCACAAACTGACAAAAAATGTTTGGTTCAGTTAGTGCATTCAGTGTCTGGGTTATAGTACGGCTTATAGTAGGCTGAGTGGTTCCAAAATCATCACTGCTACACAGCTGCAGTCTTCCAGTCACTAAATACTACAAGGTTATGGTCACTTTTATCTCTGGGGTTAGAGCCCAATTCCTCCCAGTTCTACTTTGTAGTGTTTCCCTCACTAAATCAGTCACTGCTATGATACCTGCACGGTCCAGTCAGTGTCGCATGATGAGTTCAGAATCACTATATTCATTAAATATATCTCTCCTTTCCCCATAAATGCGTTGCCGCCGCTGGTGATGATGTTGGTTCGCCGCGGTATCAACTAACTCTAGGGGTCTTTTAACTTAACAGAACTACAAATGCCCTTAAAAGTTTTATGTATACTGGCCCTGAAGATTAACACCCTATCCTTAATGGTACCAGGGGGGATTAGGTTAGGTTAACATTAGATTGGTTAATCTTCAGCCAAAAACTCAAATAACCTGGTGGGGCAAATATTCAGGTGATCTGATTAGTCAATAGACAAAATCCTCAATACAGAATACAGTACAATTATTGAAATGTTTTAATTAAGGTGTATATTGTAGCTTGATAATGAGTAATACCGTGCCTTCATAGCAACCAATATGAACTCCCTGTCTAATGTACTGTATGTGATATGTGGGAAGGAACATTGTACCTGTACTGCACTTCTGAGTAATTACAGCTGTACAGTACAGTAATCAAGAATAAATTTACGAAACTTACAAATCTTTTTTTTTTTTTTTTTTTTTACATTTGCAGGACGATGCCTAGTGACGCTCTGGATGACATTGAGCTGCGTCACGTGCAGTTGTCAGTGTCCAACTCCCGTACACTAAGTGAGGATGGGTCTGCTGGGTGTAAGGAGACTGTCGACACTCAACATGGACCCATCACTGTCGCCGTGTCTGGAGATACTTCCAAGCCCATGATCCTCACCTACCACGATCTTGGTCTTAATCACGTCACCAACTTCCAGGTTTGTTCATAGTCGGGTATAACCTTTATCTTCCTGCAACCTTTGTGTTGTTTTTGGAAATGTGTTAGTGTCTGTGTGGTAATTCTTTATTGTTATTTTTGCCAGTACAGTACAGTAGTAATCCTCATCTCTACAGTTAATTGATCTTTATTATTCTTGATTCTAGACGTAAGTTATCACTTTGGGAAGAAAACTACATAAGAGTATCTGTATTCTTATTGTGTTCATTACAGGCGTTCTTCTTGTACCCTGAGATGAGGAACATTCTTAGCAACTTCTGCATTGTGCATGTCAATGCTCCAGGCCAGGAAGATGGAGCCCCTACACTTCCAGAAGGGTGAGTGTCATCACATTACCTGAAGGATAAACTGTGTGTCTTCTTCATAATGTGAATATCATAAATTGTTTAAAAACTTGAATGTATGATAATCCTGAGTTTGGCAATTGAGTAGCTAATGTTTTTGTACAGTACTGTACAGTATTGTTCAATTGCACTTGTTTATTCCTGCTTTCGTAGCTGAAGAACTTCACAAGTTAAAGTAGCAAACAACAACCAAACATTGCTACTTGCTTGTGCTGTACTGTAGTAGAAAATGTGAAATAAATTAATGTTGCCATGGCATATATCCAAAAGGAGGATCATTGAATTAAGAAAACATATTCATTCCATGCCCGGAACGGATAGATTTTCTTGGAATGCTGAAAAAATAAAAAAGCCTGTTAGAAAATTTTAGGGATTAAGATTCCGGTTAAAGGAGAGATTACACTCATGTTTGGGGTACAGTTCTATGTAGTGTGAGGATGATTGGCTACACCCAGAAGATTGTCACTTGGGGTCAGAACACTTCCCCATCATGACCGTAAATTGGGGCCAGTCATTAGGATCATTTATCTCAAGTTTTAAATGAAGTTGAAATATGGAATATGTTGACGTACTGTATATTTTACTTTGACCATTGATGTAAGATAAACCTCAAACAGTATAATACAGTTTTTAGTTTATATTTGGTAATTTTACTAAAGAATAATATGCAGTATAAGAGGAAAAATCAATAGCAATAGTTATTATTTTTATAATTTTACAGTTAATGATTTTTAATAAAGACTTTTAATAGTGTATTTTTTTTTTTTTAGGACATTGATCTTTAATATTAATTTTCAGATATGTGTATCCCACCATGGAGGAACTCTCAGAGACGATTACCTGTGTCAAGAATCATTTCCACCTCCGGACCTTCATAGGGTTTGGTGTGGGTCTTGGTGCTAATATTCTTGCCCGATATGCTACCAAGTACCCTGCTGATGTAAGTACCCAGTTTCTTTCTTTTTCTTAAAAATTCCACCATTTACCAGTTTACTATAGTTATTTAAGTGGTTAGTCTGTTCTTTGTACTGATCTCTATTGCCCAGTGTTCAAACGTGTGATAATTGGTAATGTTTCTTCTTTTATGTATTTTAGGTTTACGCTTCTCTCCCCTTTTTGGGAAGTAATGACATGGTTATTACCTTATGATTCATTTTGTGGTTCCATGAAAGATATAAAGGAAAGATCGTGATGAAGTGAACATGAAGTAAATTTTCTATCAGACAAAAGAGTTAGTGGTACAATACTGTACAGCTGGTGAAGATAACTTGAGGATTTTTGTTTATGAAATCCTTCCCCTCAGTATCATCCACCACAAGAAATTTTTGTTGTATGGTTGTATAAAATCTGATCCCTTTAAAACTGTTGCAAGACGCTGTACTGCTGACCCATCATGATTCCTCAAACACATCCACATTGATTGAATTTATGATGCACAACTTATCACTCTCGAGTTATGCCCCTCTAACATGAATTCTATATCAGTACTTGTTGGATGGTACAGTACAGTGTTGACCTTGATGTTGGAGGTTGTTGTCATTACAGTAACTGTTATTTTCACAGGTGGATGCCCTGGTTCTAGTTAACTGCTCTTCTACCCAAGCTGGATGGATTGAGTGGGGTTACCAGAAGCTCAACATTCGTCATCTCCGCTCTGGCACCATGACAGCTGGTACTGTAGACTATCTCCTGTGGCATCACTTTGGTAAGTGGCATATAGGGTTTAGGGTTTATATACAAGGTACATTATAGTATATAGCTAGTAGAACTTACGTGTAATATTTGTCCAACTATACCCTAGTTTATGAAGGGGTTGGGTTCACCAAAAATACTTCATAGACCACCCATCACTCCCCCTGTCCAGTAAACGATCCTCACAGATGCCTCAGGTAACTGGGTCAGCATCATCTTGGTGTGAATAAAAACTTCATAAAAGTGGTGATTTGCTTTTTAAACCAAAGCAATGGTTAAAAAAAAAAAATTTATATGTAAATCTTCATAAATGGATTTATAAACTGAGGCATACCTGTACAGTTTAACTCTTAGTCATGCGTAAAATCTTCAAAGTTCTTCAGTGTTTCTCTTACATTATATTATACAGTAATTTGTTATGTTATCTACAGGCAAGAGAGAGGAGTGTAATCAGGACCTGGTGACTGTGTATCGGCAACACTTCGAGAAAGCCCTCAACCCCACCAACCTCGGCCTTCTTGTTGACTCCTACATCCGCCGCAGTGATCTGGGTATTGTGCGAGAGCTGGACCCTAACAAGAAGAAGGTGAGATTACCGCTCATCACACAGTAGAGAGTTACTTGTTAGTCGTAGTTATTCTTCTCGTCAGCATACACAATATCAAATTTTGTGTCAAGATTGAATTACAGTACAGAATACAAACAAGCTTATTTAACGTCAAACAGCACTTGTTGCATAATTTGAGTGTTGTCTATGGCAGGATCACCAAGGAACCAATACCTGTTATGTTAGCTGGTAGTACAGTATTAGTTCAGTACAGTAATGAGGTATACTGTAGTTCCTCAGAGGGTAAGTGGCAGTTAAGAGGGAGCTGGAGGGAAGTAGCATCTTCTTCGCATCAAAAATATTACACTTGGCTGTTGTTCTTGTATATTGACGGAAAATGTGGTTCTGGCAATGTGATTATAGATTCTTACTTAGTCTTGGCATCACCTTGGAGTGAGGAGAATAGTTCCATATATCTATCAGGAAAAGTTGTTTCTTTCATCTATGTTATTACCTCTGAAAACATTATTTTTTCCTTAACTTTATAGTTAATTTCTCTCCAGCATTTTATTTTCTTCTTTTTATGTACTGGACTTAGTGTTTGTTGTGAACTTTTGTGTAATCTGAATTAGTGTTATAGAATTATTTTTGTTTTCTTAAGAAAGGGGGAGAGGATTTTCATATGATGGCTCTGAAATTACATTTGCCACCAGTAGCAATTAAAGCAGTATTTAGACATGATACCCCTGTGATAACTCTGATGACTGTAATACATCACCTGGTAGTCACCTGCCATGGAATTAAAACTGCAATTCTGGCAATGGCAAATATTTACATGTCAAATTTTTTTTATGTTTTTGTGTGTTTAAAAACAATCCATTTTTCAGGATGTTCGCATGATCCGGTCACAGGTGCTGAATATTACTGCCAACCATTCTCCTCATATTGAGGACACTGTCACCTTCAATGGAAGACTTGATCCAACGTTGGCCACATGGATGAAGGTGAGTTGTATTCACAGTCCAGTTGTCAGGTGTTGTACAGTACAGTAGTTATATAGACTGACACGAGACAAAACAGAAAATGTCGTCTAATGTGATTCATATGCTCAACAAGAAATTGGGAATGGCTGTGTAAAGCTCATTATACATTTAAAATTTAAGCTTATTTCACTGGTCTAAAGCTCCATATTGAGGTTACAAGTACTGTAGCCAGATTTGTTAGGTAGTTTGCATATCTCTTACTGATGATATTGTCTTAATTTGTATTGGTAGTCTTGATATTAACCTTTGTGATCAGTTTAATGTTGGTCACTGAGATGAACTTTACACCAGATAGACTTTCCTTATTTTGTAGTTATACAGTACATTACGCATTTAGGTTATTGTGTAGGAAGACACTACATGTGATCGTACCAGCTTGTGCTCTAAAGTGTGCGTGCAAGAATGGCTTTTCACAAACTTGCCAAGCTAAACAAATTACAATACGATTAATCGCAGTGACAGTTAAGTACCAAATATTACAACACTTACTGTAATGTTAATACAGTACCTGATGTTGCACTCAAGTCATCCCAGAATTTAAGAAGATGTTACACACACACACACACACACACACACACACACAGTGAACAGAAAAAGATGTAGCTAGTGACTATATATACAGTATATGTGCCACTACTGTGTACCAGTAGTAGGTAAAAGTTGAGTTGCTGTAATGTTAAATATTTCCATTCATTTTCTCTGATTTTAAAGAGTAATTTAAAGTTAGAGTATATTGCTAATTAGTAATATTATTATTTTTTTTTTTCTAGATTCAAGACTGTGGACTGGTCATTGATGAAGCTCCTGGCAAAGTGGTGGAGGCCTTCCGTCTGTTCCTCCAAGGGCAGGGCTATGGTGAGTCACTGTCATAATGCTTTTACTTTGTTCTTAAGTCACATCATCATCATCATGTAACAGATAAGATATGGGCCTTAGATATCTGTCTCTGTGTGTTTACAAAATAATAATAAACTAAAATCCTAAAAAAAAAAGCTGTAAAAGGAAGAGATAAGATAAAAAAAAATAAAAGAGTGATTTTTCCCTCATCTGCCTGACTGAGATATACAACCAAATCATGATAATTCCTGCTCTTTCTACCCTAATTAACTATGTGTCTTTATCAATGGTATGAAGGTTTTAATCCCATTCATTCAAACTTGTGATGAAGTAATAGAGGTTGGTGGGTGTAAGGTCTGGTGTGATTGTGTGTTGCCCAGTCTTGTCATCCAGCCCTACTGACTTATTGGCCAGGGAAGATAAAGGTACATCAGAATGGGATAATTTAGACTAATATTATTTGTGGTTAATGAGGGTTTTTTTACTATATAATTTTTCAAGGTTAAGTAACTGAAGTCCCAACAAAATGCCAGGTTATAATCTTATCTTTGAGTTGTAAGATTTGAGTTAAAAGTAAATTATTTTCTATTGTAATTATCACCTGTGAATTTGATTTTGTTTTTAGTTTGAATATCTAATTTATTCAGTTTGTTTTCAGTTTAAATATATAATCCAGTGGTTTGTGGATTCATTTTTGGCATTTCCTAGTAGTGTAAGTGAGGAATATTATGGTTATTTTATACATTATCTTACTCTGTGTTCAGGATTTACAATAATTTTTTCGGAACTTCTCGCTACCAAACTCTTCTACTTTCATGACACAACGTACAGTACACTGGTGGTCTTATATTGAGGATTCTCTTGAAGCCTTATAACATGTAACCTAACCTTACCATTAATGAATCTGTTTTTTTTTTCTGTTTTTTTTTTTTTTACCAAATGACAAAACTCACTATACTTCGAGAGAATTATGTATGTACTGTATCCTGCTGTAACAAAACTGAGGCATGTATTGTGCTCACCCTGTAGTATATTATTAATACCTGGTAGTTAAAAAAATGAAAAGTAAGAGCTCCCACAGGCAAGGTTTCCTCTATTTCTTTACACATCACAGGGCGGAATAATTTTTTGGGGCACCATTATGAAGGTAGAGTGAGGCTATAGCTACAGTATATATATTGTACTATTTAAGTTACCAAAAATATGTGAGAAATATGTGGTGATAACCGTATCTAAGGCCCATTGTGTTCCATATTAAAGTATTGTCCTCATGTGTAGTGTCGTGTGTTGAGTGTTTCATCTACTTACCGGGTAACTTCTCACAGCTGGTAATGGTCCACACATCATTAAGAGATCATTACATATACCTACCAAGCATGGATTAGCCTAGAACTGTCATCCTTTTTTGGTAATTTTTCTTGGGTTAAAATTGCTTCCACCAACATTAAAATAATAATATAAAAAAATCTCTCGAAGAAAGACATGATTTTTGTGATGATATTTACATATTTCAGGAAGTTACAAGAGATATAGATTAGGTTAACTTTACACCCGGTCAGAAATACATATGATGTTGGTGGCAGTAGATAAGGTTAATTTTTATGTAATCTCCAGGTGGTAATCCTAAATCCTTCATGTGTTGTATAGAAAAATTATAAAAGAATTGTGTCATTTATCCTAATGGTAAGCATCAAAACTTTACAACCAGTATAGATCTTAGTCAGGGTTAATATTATCACCTTTGAGGGAATGTGGTATTAGATAATGTATAAACTGTTATGACTTGCTGATTGAGTACCTTGATTTATTTAGGATTACTCTCCCTAAGTGCATAAAGTTAATATCCGTGGTTGTCTTCTCTATAGACTAGTTAATGCAGTCACGTGATTTATGACTCAAAGTTTATATCTGTGTAATATGTTTTCTCTACCACAGATGTTTGATTTTTGTGTGCACTCCTGACTTGGTCTGCTCAGCCAAGTCTTTAGGAATACTTCTGACATTGATTTACAGTATTCTATTTATATGACTAGGCAACTGTGCCATTACTCTGACACAGTACATCATTGATAGGCAGGAAAGTGGCAGTACAGGGCTACTGTTGATTTAAGTACAAATTCTTATTCATTTAATTACTAAGCCTCTCAGGGATTAGTCGTTGGAAAATATATTTGCTTGAGTTGCAGATGATTGTATATAGTCAGTTGTGTAGCCATAAAGTGGTCTTTGACTCAAGAAACTCCACTGCTTTCAAACATCCAAGTATTTCTTGTGATGTAATGTGGACCACATAACACTTGTGAAATACAGTATTTAGATAGTTTGTAGAATGATAATTGTTGAGGTTGTTAGTTTATTGAGCGGTTATGCCCAATACAGGATGATTTTTTTGGGGGTGGGGGGGCAAGGTGGGCTAACTGGGTGGGTAATAATCTAAATAATAAGGGAAACAAGAAAAAAGTGTAAACAAATTACTCCTCACCCCCCATGCCTGTACCCTCTGTGATGTTGTTGATTTCTCGTTCAGCGTCACAGAGAAACCCATAGACTATGGCAGGGTAGACAGGGAGGGTGGCAGATACATGCTAATCTTTCCCACCTTCCTCTACCCCTTCACCCAACTCTGCCACAATTTACACACTCTTAGTCCCCCCCCCCTTCCCACCTCTGCCAAAGGGAAAGGGATGTATGGAGATGGTAAATGCTAATGATATATTAAACTGTAAATGTTTGGGCTCACTGCTTAGTGGAAAATACTAGCCCATACATCTACAGGTTGAATTAATGACAGCAAATGGAGGAAATAATGTTTGTTGTGCTGTGTGTTTGCTCATGTTTCTATTCACCCAACATTAAATGTCACAAGGTTTATTGGGTAAGAGTATACAGTGCACAAGGCCTAGGAGAGAACCCACTCCTTCACTCTGGTTGGGAACTGAACCTTTAACTATACACATCAGGGGTCGGGGGTCCACCAGATGAGCATCCACAGTAGTGTAAAAACAAAACACATATTGATATATATCTGAATTATGTACAGTATTTATCTGTTTCTTTCTCTGAGTGATGCTGACATTATCTGTCTCTTATACAATATGTTTTTCTTCCTTGTGTCTTTAGCCACACTCATAAATCTTGTTCATTATCTATTATTTACCAAAAACTGTCACCTTTATCACAGCTTCATTCACTGATCTCTGGCATCTATTAATTCGTTTCCTGTTTTACAACCTCACATTTATTTTTAGTTTCACATCCACACAAGAGATGGAACATGTGCTCTGTCAATAAGACTTTCTTTTATATACCTTACACAACTCCTACCCAGTCATCAAGGTTATCACATCTCTAAATCTACTGTGTTATTTCACTTTCATCTTCCAATTTATTATTTTTCTCAAGAACCAACACTTATTCCTAGCGATCAGATATTCAGTAGTCATCCTTACAGTACTGTACCACTGAATTTAGGAGAACTTCTTTTATTTTTACCTTGATATATTAGAACACCTACCTCTTGCACACATCACTAAAAGAATATTTCATTATGACCACATTATTCCGTCGCTCCTTCAACAAAAGGGTATTACAGTACAGTATCTACATAAGGAAACAGAACTTGACAACTTTCATCTTGTACCACAATGGTTGGAACTGTTCCCTGTAATCATCCATTTGACTCCTCTCACAAAATAATGCATTGGTGGATACATTAGTTAACCAAGAAGACATTATATGAAAGTGTGCGTTGTTCAGTCAGTTTTTGTGAATATTATTGTGCGTATTTTGCTGTCCAAAGCAGAAAGGATTATTTCACATTGCCACTTACCTAACTATTTACTGCATCTTTTATATGCTTGATGGACCATCATGTTTGGTGATTTGGGTATCTGTTATTTAATTCACTTTCATAAATAGAGTGTGAATGTTTCTTAATCCAATCTCACTTGATATATTTGTAGATTATTCTGTATTAGGCAATGCAAATGTGAAGTGCTACAGGTGTTTTGTTAGGATTTATTATCACTGCCAGGTTGATGAGGGATTAAAATATATGGTGATTTAGTGACACCTTCGTAATGATTTTTTTAATGAGAGAGTCGAAGCTGTGTAGGGGAGTGTCTTAACCATCTCACTGGCCAATGAGACAAGTTACATCACTAAGACCTTGACATTTCCCAGACCCACTTCCACTGGGTTACATCAGGCACACCCACAGATCACAGCATCACTCACAGCCAACAAAAGTTCATATAGAATTTGCTGTTGTTGATCCTATTCCATTATTGAACTACCAGTAAAACATCCAAAACCAATTATGGATGACACAGCTGGCATCATCAGTCAACAAAATTTGGAGCAAATCGCATCATCGGCCAGTGAGAGAGTGAATTTCACCCAACTCAATAATGCGAAAAAGTTAAAATGATTTAAGTATTTCATTTGGGATTTTTGTTTATTGAGGATTTTAAAGTTTAGATATTTCACAGAGGTTTTATATGTGTACAGTATACATGTAGATTAAGATGTCTTTATCTGTGCTGAAATCATTTTAAAACTTGGGTCAGACCTGTGTTTTGAGTGTACAGTAATGTAATGTAAAGTCACATGATTGAATGAAAGAAATTTCCTTCCTCTTCTTACACTGTTAGTTGAGATACACAGGTATTTAGCATTTTAGGTTTTATTGGTACCTAACAGGATTTTAATTTTTTTAAGATACTGTATATTAATATATGAAGTTTGGGGGAGAGAAAGCAGGGATAACATTATGAAGGAACATTTTAATGAATGAAAAATATTGTAATGAAGTGTAAAGTCCCTTGATGGTAAACAAAGCTTTCCCCCGACCACAAGCGGTGAGTGGGTCCCGGCGATCCTCAGCTGTGTCGATTGGAGAAGGTAAATCGTGTTGAACGCATCACCCATCATCAAAAAACAAGCTTTGTGTAAGTTTAAGTTTATTTCAGGCAGCATTGGAACTAACCATACTTTGTCATGCTGCCACATTCAGACTTGTTAACATAGCCGTTTAGTACATGGTTTTCCCCCCAACGAAGCACCTTTGATGTTTGTTTAAGCATTTGTTGTTTTGTTCACTTGGAATTCTGCCACAGGAAACATTGGTGCCAGTCGGTCATAATTTTGTCATATATTGGATTTTGTTTTTGTATTGTTTTTGCACCAGAAAATCCAGGAAATAAATTTTGTTTCCTGCAGTCTCCATACACACTCAGTATTTTTTAATATATTCCTGTCATGTAAATTTCTTTTTAAATTGTGGGGGATAAACTATGTTTCCACATTTCCTTTTTGAAAGTCTTAATAAGTGAGAACTGGCAGCTGTGTTGACGTGATCTTCCACAGCACCCGGGAGGTGATCTAGTGGTGGTTGTTCCTTCCCTAAGTTGCTATTTAGTCAAGTTTTAAGTTGATCATCACTGTTGTTTCTTTTGTCTTAGCTTCCCCTCCCTCCCAGTCATTCAGGATTATTATTGTTTTTGATGTTGACTAATTTTTGGCAAATTGCACTTCATCAACTCATCATAACCATTCAGAGCTTAGTGTAACATCTCTCTCGGCTACTGCACATAGTTCGAGTCTTACTCAGCACTGTTGTTAAATAAAAGCTTATCGAGTCATTAAAGCTGCTTGACTAGAAGTGAGTCGCAGAGATCTTGCCTGACTTATTATTAATTACTAATACCTTGCTTGACTAACAGGAGGTAAGGTAATAAATTCAACTCTGCATGCGGGAGAAACACCTACACTGCACAGGAATGCCGCCTGATAGACGATGGGACTGCAGAACATTTCAGTGAATTTGCACTTTTCAAAATCTATCCTAACCTGATTGCCTTTAGTTGCATACAAATTGTAATGGTTAGTTGAAGAGATAGTTCTAGAAATCCTCTAAAGTGAGAATTATTTATATTTACAGGTATTTGTAATCCAAAATCAAATGTTAGTTATGTCTCTTTAGCATTTTTTTAAGATGAAGATACCAAGAACTTTTTAAACAATTCATATAAATAATTTCTTCTAAGCTATAAAGATAAATATCCTTTTTTTTTAATGAATAATTTAAGCACAAGTGATGATTATTCATGGTACTGCACTCTAACACACTGACAATAGAAACCAATAAGAAAATTAACATAGAAAATCAGAAAGAACAAGGATTAATACCCAGTTCTGGTAATTCAAATTTCTAAAAATTCTGTAGGTAACTTACTGTACATCATCTAGGTAGTGTGAACAAAACTCAAGGATTGAGGGAACTTCTGTGAATTTCATTATGTCTGTGGTAAAAAATTTTTATTTTTTATATTATTATTACAAAACAAGTCGCCGTCATCTGCTTGCAAAAATTAATGCGGGCTACAGAAAGTCGAGGTAACACGGTTACTAACTGGGGATTTTTTTTTTTTTTTTTTCGGGGGTGAAGGGATATAAGACTGTGTGTAATGTGAAGAGAATCTTACAGTACAGTACCTGATTGAGCCATGCCATAGATACAGGTATACAGTATTTCATGATATATTTTTCTCTTGATCAGTTTTGCATGACTGAAATATTGGGCTAACATTTTGCACCCATGGAATAGAAATGCATGTGTACTACAACTCTTTTTTTTTATGATACAGTAATTCCCAGTATTGAAAACATTCTTAGCAGCTCCCCAAAAAGGAGTTTTGCTTTGGTTGTGTAGTACAATCTATATCTACACAACTGATTTTTTTTTTTTTTTTGAGGTTTTGAAGTTTGTACAGCAACTCATTTGGTAATAGATGCAAGTGTGTTAAGCTCTTCTGCTTCTCAAATTCAAAGTGCCATTGTTTCTGGCAAGTTACCACCGCCGTGTGTCTGATACATTGTTGATTGTGTGCACTTATTTCTCAGTTGGATTGGGAAGTTTGTGGCCTTTCAAGTTCAGTCTCATGTTTTTAGGTGTTGATCGTGAAGTCAGTGAACAATTTATTTTAAACAATTCTCTCTTCTCTCACTCCTGAATAACACATATAACCTCTCTTCTCAACATATTATAAACCTTGATGTGTACTGGTGCCTGAAACTTGTTGATGTTGCTGAAAACTTTTACGACAAAAGTTTTCACGATGATGTCATGAGAGTGTGTCTGACTTGGTTACTTGCTGTTGACACTGTGAACAGTTTAAGGGTGTGTCCAGCAAGTGAGCCAGTCAGCCTTTGGGAGAGTGAGCAAGAAGGAAAGGGAAGAGGAAAGTATTATGAGGTGTTGGTAGTTTTGAGACTGTGACACTATATCTTGGTTCTGCTCTGTGGCCCAGACAGTGAACCATCAGTAGGGAAATGTGATCAGTAGGACAAATTCTCCTCCCTTGACAAGCTTCTACTTTTTCCACAGTAGCACCTCAGTGGGTGACTGGGGCCGTCCGGTCTTACTGTCAACAACGAGTATGAACCATTTTGTAAAAAATTTTGTTCGTGTCATAAGTGTTTAGGTATTATGAAGCTTCGTTCTAAAATCCTGTTCCCTTCACTGTTCAGATGATAAGTGTTTCAGCATCAAGCTTAAGTTGTCTGTTTCCATTTCATTAGTATATCTGTGTGTACGCTAGATGTCAAATACAGTTTCTACGTCTGTTTTCATTATATCTCTTGCGCTTTATGATTATATTCGTTGTCTTATCAAGCATTTAAACATATTCTGTATGTGAGAGCAAGTTCTCCATCTTTTCCTGTGGCTCATATTGTCTTTACCTAGTTCTCTCTCTTCTCATGTCTGTTTGTCATATCTTCAGCATTCTAATTGTATAGTACAGGTATATCAAATATTGAAAAAAATACAGCTTTAAGATGGTAGAGTAGTGTGTCATGAGGCGTAACTCTCATGTAGCTGAATCATACAAGCTCTCACAGTAATTGCGAGAAGTGGATACAGTTAAGAAGACAACCTGAACAAGAAAGAGGTTTTAAGAGTTATTTCAAGTTATCAGAATTAATTACCAGTTATGAAGGTAGTGATACTGGCAGGGACACTCAACACCAAACATGAGATGTGTTCTCTCTGGAAGATACAGCATAATGTGGGTATTATCCTATCAAACTTTTTTCCAATCTTCCGTCTTTGGGAAGCTGCTGCATGAAGAACAGCTCGTTGTCGTTCATTTGAAGAGTTTTTGTTTCCATTTTGTGCATGAGATGGTGGTCACTGAGCATGATGTCAACATCGTGAATGCTAAGGTTCAATATAGATAATGGAATGACAAAATTATAAACCTGTGTAATATTTTTAATTCTGTAGTGAATGAGTTTTATGGTTTATTCATTGTATAACACAAAATGTGGAATTTGTTGAAAGTTATCTTAGCATTTAGAATGTTTATTATATTCCTGTTTTATGGTAGAAAATTCAGCCATTTTGCCTAATAATTCATGATGCTTATGAGCATTACTAGTTTGTAAAGAGCACTGATGGATGTACCAGTTCATATTCTTAAACATTTATGGTGAACACATCATATTATTTAGATGCTGTAGATACAAACCTACGTACAATAACACAGTAAAATCTCAGTTTACCATGGTACTTTAACTCTCTGTAGAGCTGTGTATGGACAGAAATTATTCTCAAAACTGAAAATTCTTAGACTGTCAGAATCAGTCCAGTAGATGTGCAAATTCTGATAGGACTTTAGAAAGAAACACTATAGCGGTATATAACAACTGTTGCTCCAGTTATTAATTTGATGATCATTTTCACCACTTGTTAACCATATTACTGGCGACCAGGTTGGATACGTCTGACCCGCCTTTACTGCGTGAGATTATAACCAGTTCATAAAAACTTAACACTGACGGCAACATAATTATCACTGCTGGAATAATAATAATACATACAGTACAGGAGTATTTTGCCTTCCATAACTTACATCACTGTTAAACTAGATACTGTACACAACACTCATGGCTGAGCCTGGTCATCTGACGGCATAATTTGCTGCGTCTCCATAATTGCACCTGTAGCATGATATATTTTATGTTTGAGTGTGAAGAACTGGTTTGGTCTCACGTGAACCACCAAAATTTGATATCATAATTTGAAGTGGTAAGTGTGGAGGCAGTTTTTATTTTAGTTACATAGTTTCCTAAGTGTTAAACAGCCCCGTGAAATATTTATATTTGGCGGTGTACATTATATCACCCAGGCTCTACAGGGTGCCATGGTAAAGTGAAATTGTACTGTATAAAGAAGTACCATGATATTCATATATACACACATATACAGGGTGTCTCAGAAAATTGTATTCCTGGCACACACTGCCTCACAGATTTTTATGTTCGCATGAAGGCATGTTGGTGAGTGAAGTCTCCCACACGTAAGGACATGTTGCTGTTGTAATAGAAGCATTCACGCTGTCACCACAAAAATCTGTAAAGCGGTTTGTAAACAATTTTTGAGACACCCTATATATTCTTACACTGTGCATATTTGTATACAGTACATCAAATCTTATTCAGATAATGCTTATATAGTACAGTACCGTATAGTATAGATAGGGTATTAACTTGTGAAGAAATACTAAGTACTTGCACTCCTCACTGCCACAAGAGCATGGTTGTGTGTTTACAATAGTCGGTGTACTCTATAATACCTTGATATAATTATTTTCACCGGTGCATGTGTAGTTGGTGATGACTACTGATGGCTGGGGATTTTGGTCCACAACATGAATGCAGCTATGGATTATTTAAACAATTATTATTATTTTGATGAGTTCTTATTATAGTAATGTATTGGGTCTAACAAACTAACTGCCAAACTATATTAAAGGTCACCATCCAAAATTGTATATACTGTACAGTACAATGTACTGAGGTGAAATTGGCAAATTGTTTAAATCTCAATAAAATTTTCTTTACTCAGTACAGAGATAAGTTCTTATTGGTACCAAGAATAACAAGTTGCATCTGTACTAACCAAACACACCTGACCTAACCTTGTCTAGTACAGTACAGTACAGTACTACCAAACCTCTCTTGCTGTTTGAGGTCTAATTATATACAGTGCTATCTAGTGAACAATACTGTACAGGGTATACAGTAGGTAAACTCTACCCACACTCTTTAAAGATGTATAGATTTTGCATTAAGTTATGATTTAAGAAAAATATTATCAATTAAAAATCAATGATGGGCTTTTCTCTTTTGTGATATATATATATATATATATATATATATATATATATATATATATATATATATATATATATATATATATATATATATATATATATATATATATATATATATATATATATATATATATATATATATATATATATATATATATATATATATATATATATATATATATATATATATATATATATATATATATATATATATATATATATATATATATATATATATATATATATATATATATATATTGTACATCAAATTTTAGATAAGATTAATAATAAAATTTAAAAATTTTGTCAATTCTGATTACTGTACATAAGTTTAGACACTAATTTGTTCATCTTATAAAGTTTTTTGTAAATACTGTATTCACTGTTATTCAGGTTATATGTATTGATATAAATCTTGAGTGAACTCTTTAGATAAAACCAAATATTTTCAGTTACACTCCATACAATACCTTCTCTCCACTACAGCGGTACACAATCGTGGCATTGGCTCCCGACAAGCATCAATCTCTTCAGTCAATAGTTCCACAACTAGCGTAAAGGATATACGAATTACTGAAAATCCCCTGCAGAATCCCACCGTCTGAGCACTGGCAGGAGCGGCACTACTGAAGGTGAAGAGTGCCAGTCATTGAATTAACCCATCACGTCCGAGAACTGACGGTGGTGCCTCAAGTTTTATTAGAGATATGAGAGAGTGTCGGCCATCCTACTGGAGGAGGAAGACAGCTGTTTAGTATTGACAATGGTGCAGGATGGGTGTATTATTTTATCGTCATTAACGACCACATCTAATGTATATGGAAGAGTAACTTTGTGGTAGAATGAAAAACAAAACAAATGTTATAAAAGATTTTGTTTCTGTTTATTATATTTTAGTTTTTTGTGATGACTGTATGTAAAACCAGTTAAAAATTTTATGTCTGCCATAGTACAGTACTTCAAATAGTGCAAATGAGAGAGCTAAGATAGTTATTAAGCTTTGTCGTTGCCACCAGCTCTAAGGCTTTTGTTGCCCAGGAGGCCTATGTAGGTTTTAATATGCATTTTATGGATTATTTGTGAGTGAGTTACCCAGGATGTCTGCAGCAACAGTCAGGGTAACTTGTACTTTTTGCTTTACATAGTCATTGGAAAAGTAAGGGTAAATGTTTTAAATTGTAGAGGCATTGAAGTTACTAACTGGATGGCAATATGCTTCCTATATCATTGTCAGTATTTCATTCTGCTGCTTCCCATAGTTGATTAACGATAAATTTTATTCACCATTTTTATAGAAAATTATGAGTGCAGTGCTATGCAACTGTAATACCGTACTAATGGGAGGTTGTAGTTCACTTAATATCAGTAGACCAAGTAGCACAAATCATAATATTGCTACCTGCTTAGTAATGCCATCGGTTCTTTTAATTCTACAGGAATTGGCTTTTCTTTACCATATTCATATTAGTTATGGAATCACATTAGGTTACACTGTACTTTATGAAATTTATTTTGTTGACACTGGAGATATTATTTTTGAATGGCACAGTAAGATGGAGATAGTAAATTAAAAATCAAAATTGCATGAACATCCATTTTTATTCTGTTGTCTTGGGAAAGCACTGATACAGATCTCTCAGTGAATGTAATCTAGTCAGATTTGTTTATGGTATTGTTATGAAGGACAGTTATGGTGAAGAAACATCAAAAGATGCTTGTATAATGCTGTTTTTCATATATAATGTATACAGTACCATGTGCTCAGTACTTTGCATTTTCTAAACCTAAAAATGATATTTATGCATTGTTACAAATTATTATTCAGTTCCCTTAAGTAGCAGTAGTCATCTTCAGATTGAATTTCATCGGTACAGTACTATGGGCCTTATGAGAATTTTCCGAAGCTTCTAAGTTGTTGCTCACGTCAAGTATAAGCTTCGGTAGGGAGCCCCAAGCCTTGGCTGATGACGCCTAGAAGGGGGATATGGTGGGGTCAAGTTTTTTATTAACAGGTATAAGTAGTAAAAAAACACTGTCTTGTAAAAGTATTCAGAGTTTGTTGTATATAGTTGTTATTATTAAGTGTTGAATCATCTTATGAATTCAGTGAAACCTTGTGTAAGTGTTATCATCTAATTTGTTACATAGTGTGATATATCATAATGTCGAGTTCTCTGATGTAACTTGTATATTTACACCTCAATTACATTCTCTCCTTATCAAAATTTTATGACACAACTATTTTGATCTTCCATAGTTCATTTTTAATCTCAAGTTGTATTTGTTATTGATGGATCTGAAATGTGATTAAAGGTCTAATGTTTTTCTGCGTTCAAGACAAAAAGGTTGGACAACACTGAAGGCTCGGAGTCAGAATTTCTCACATCAAAGGCATTTTTTTCATACTACAAGACTGTTGGTGGTAAACTGCTTTTATATCACCACCATAACTCCCTTGACATATAGGTAGACCTGCACATGTATATATGACGAATGTGTATATACTTCCAGACACCCTGTGGTGTCTCCTCCTCTCTCTTGGGTGTATCGGCAACAACCATTGTAGGTCATCACTTTGTTTTTTAATTTACTCTCTTCATTTTGGTACCTGTAGTTGATAGTGTTATGATATTTAGCTGATTTTAGAAGTTATTTGCAGTAATCCTTCTGCAGTTTTGTATACCCAGATTCAGAATTCTACAGTACAGGTTATACAGTACTGTACAGTATCTCCTAATTTGGAACATTCTGGTGGTTCAGTAATTAAATACATTATTGAATTCTCCAATGCAGGTACTTACAGTAAATTGTAATATAGTACCTGTACAGCACTGTATATTCTGAATTATAAGAAATATTCTAGAAATTAACTGGCTTTTTAAGTACAATTTGCAATCTAAAACTTCAATTATTTTATTACAGTGTACAGTACATTATGTACTTCTCATATGATAAATACAGCAGTCAACAATACAGTTTACTGTATGAATATCTTATCATATTTGTAACATGCTGTATTTACAGTGCACTGTACTGTACCTTGATTAGATTCACATTCAAGAAATGACACCTTCAAGTACGTGTGTGTGTGTGAGAGAGAGAGAGAGAGAACGACTCCCATTCCTCCTGAATACTACTGTATGATGAAGGTCTTTTAGTTTACTGTACTTTATATTACAAGCAATATTTTTTATTTTTTTATTCATTATTTGCAACACTAAGGTTCTTAAAGCTATGTAAACTTATTGTGACATGTTTTGGAATCATGAAATGCATCAATATTATCACTTCTCTGGAATATCTAATTGGGAAGATTCCAAAATATTGCCAAATATTCACAGACACAGACTCCTCCCAAATTCAGATCTTAAACTTCTTTTATTCTGAATTGCAGAAGGATTATTGTACAGTATTTTAAAATGTTTAACCTCACAGAAAGGCTTGTTTAAAAAAAAAAAAGAATATACAGTACTTTAATTTTGAGACTCGGATGAGGTAAGAAAATAGTTCAGGGTTACAGACTTTTGGTCATCTCTGAAGGAGTTTTATTGTGTCTTTTTTACTACTGTATATTAGTCTCTACAGTATATTATTTTGTCTAATTTTAGTGACTTATTATATATGATTTACTGTATTGGAAATTTATTAAAGTTGAAATCCATAAACATTAGCTTTTATGGTTCTTTTGTTTTATTGTAATAACTGTATAATAGTATGACATAGGTATTATAACAAGAGCAAGACCTTGCACCCAGGGTGATCATTCCACTACTTGCAGAGACATACCCTGTGCAGTAACCAATAAACATGTACTCACATGGGATGGACTTTTATTACTAGTGTTTATCCATCAACACATAGACAGTACAGTACAGTGAACTAGAATTAAAATATTGAGAATTATTTTAATTAGATTTTTTTACATCTAAACAATGTCTTTCCACTATAATTTCTGATGCAAGAGTCGTCTGGTTTTAAGATGTTGGGCCATATTGAAGATCATGGAGTATAGGGTGTCACTATCATAGGGAATGGTGTAGTGTGTATTCTAGATTGCTCAAACTATGATTTTGGCACCACTAAAGTGACAATTTGGCACTTTCCTTGAAGTAGCCTTAGTAAATTCCAGAATATGCTACTGCATTGAAAATCCAAGAAAATGGTGAAGGTTGGGAACACAGCTAGCAGTAGAAAAACTTGTGGAATTGACTCTAAATTTCTGGAGGTTCAGTACAAGTAAGTATATATTTCTCTTCATTTATACATAGAATAGGTTTTAGAATGTATTGCACCAAAAGAAAAAATATAGGCTTATGGGATTTGCGCAAACCAGGACATGAAACTGGATAGTGAAGCCTGTACGTAACATGAAAAAAAGGCAATCAATTCTATGTTTATGGTAATAAAACCTCAGATATGAAGCTCTGTCAATTATTTATAAGTTAAGGGAGAACGGATTCACAAATTATTAGTTTAAGAGTGAACGACAACACAACAGCACCGCAGGAGAATTTTCGGTGGAATATTTACGGTAAATAATTATTTTCTTCGCATACAAAGCACGTAGACAATTTTAGTATCATATGATCAGTTTTTCACTGTGTTACCCTGCAATTTCCCTCATCCTTCATGCCCTTCCCACTACAGGTGATTTGATTATAGATAGAGAAAAACGAGACAAAATAATTAATTAAAATAACTTGTATTAATTTTATTAGTTAATATCCAAAGAACAACTGGAAAATATGAATGAATTCCATAAACTCTTTCTGGTGTTAACTGTCTATGCCATTATTTCCAAGAAATTAGAGGGAGGTGGCAATTGTTGGCCTGTTTGAAGGATATGTTAGTTAAGTTGAATTGGCAGGTGCCATAGACCTCCGTCACCCATGAATGCACCACCAAGGTCCATATTTGGTTTTCCAAGATATTAGTAAGTAAGAATAATTATTGATATTGGAGTTAAGTTGTTATTGCACTACAAAAACTACGGTTTTTAATGGTGTAATTATTTAGTAAATGAATTAATTTAACAACCGTTTAAATAAGAAAGATATATGTAGTACTATTTTTTATTAACAATATCATTTTGGCAAGAAAATATCAATGGTTCCCCAAGCACATAATTATAAAACAGATGTTTATCAACCATCAGTCCCTAAATCCTCTGTTGGTTTATTTTCCAAACAAAAAACTAAAAAATACCGTATTTAAAAATATATGCCAAGACAGAGTACAGTGTACTGCCATCAGTAGCCAAACTTTAGATCGAGCATATTTAAAATTTTACTTAAAATGTGGAAATAATTCATGGGTTTAAGAAACTTTTTGTTTGAAAAGGTCAAATTTGCTTAAATAAATAAATGACCGGATAACATTGGACTGTTCTCTTTAAGAAAGGTAATATAAATTTCATATATTTATAAAAAAAAAGTTGAAGATGTTCCTTTCCAAGTCACGCCTGGGGGCGAAAATATAATAATAATAATAATAATAATAATAATAATAATAATAATAATAATAATAATAATAAATTATAAAAGAAATATAAAACATTAAAAATAACGAAACCGTTATCACTAGAAGTTTGTTGATGTTTACTTTATTTTTGCTATACTTATTGTTTTGACGATTTTAATTATATTAAACGGACCGACAACGTTCTAGTATAATTTTAAGTATTTTTTTATTCATTTTTACATTTACTCGATCCCGCTTCACAATTCTCCTTCCGGCGCCATTTTTGTTGTTTACCTCGCTGAATCCCTCTTCATTACACGTTTCCTGTAAATGGCGGTGAACGCTTTCGCGAATTCCTCCTCGCAATTGCTGATGTATATCAACCTCAATATTAAGGTAAGTTGTTTAATACATAAATTAACACGATAATACATAGAACCTAATAAAACCCGACCTAACATACCCAGCCTATGGGTATGTTAGGTCAGGTTCTATGTATTGTTTCCATTTCCGTGTTTAATATCATGCTAATAGTGTGTACAAAAAATTTAAACCAAATCTCACATTTCCTTCTGGTGATATGGTTTCGTAAGCCTTTACCATATTATATAATAATAATAAAGACAAAAATAAAATAAAATAAAGTGAGAAACGATATACGGTATGTTGCGTTGTCAAAGTAAGAGAAACAATTGAAACCCTGAAGTTGTGTGTAAACGAAGCAGAAAGTCAAATCAGGCTCTACCATTAGATAATGAATACATTATGTTTCCACTATCTTCCCAGACGGTAGTACTTCTCTGTTTGATAGCTACCTACTACCTTCTACCCAAAAATAATTAATTCATAGTAAAGTCATGTCTGTGTTGTCTCACAGGTCAGAGGGATGGTGTGTTGTGAAGTGAATGTTTTCTAGTCGAGTCTGTTACCGTCAGTTGTGTTACCACCAAACACAATATGAACTTCACGTTATGGAGGTAAGGACGTTGCTGTAAAATCTGTAGGTTTACTGAAGGAAGGATGTACAAGTGTTTAGTTCACCAGCTTTTTTGTTTTCTGTACGAGACCTGCCTTGTTTGTTTTCATACCAAGAACACAAGGTGCTACTATAGTATGCGTGGCTCCCGGGATATTTAGTCTATTAACCCAAAGAAAGTATCGATTTTTAAACCCCGTTGTGAGACAGACTACAAAAATTAGCCCACACTACCCAAGGGTCGTTACGCTGTAATTGGGGGGGGGGGGGTGGTGATGATTCTCGTGGTAGTGTGAAGTGATTGATATTTGCATAGATTTTCTTGCTTGTCACTTGTCTCGACGTAACGAAATAAACTTGCCTGAACCCCCTTCATAAAATACCAAGCAATAAAATTGTAAAGTAAAAGAGTATCGCTTCTTTTTGGGAAGATTTTGTCGATTTACACTGATATGACGGAGATAGAGTATAATAAATGGTGAGGGAGTAATTTACAGCTGACGAAATTCACTTAACGGTTTAGTGCTGCATAGCAAGTACAGAGGGGGTCTGTGCCCATATCGTCACCAACCCGTTTCGTCACCACTGCTGTACCCGTTTCGTAACCACTGCTTTACCCGTTTCGTCACCGCGTTCATTCCCATCGATATATACACGAAAATAACTGTTGCTTGGGATAGAAAATAATAAAAAACACTTAAGACATTTTTTTAAAGACGAAAATAAAAAATAAAAACCACGTTAATACGCCTGCAATCATCTCACTGCTCGGTGGTTTATGAAAATATTTAATTAGCTGAGCGTGCAAATACCGGGAAGGGTCCGTCGTAGGGGCGGTGAAGTGGGTTGAGGTGAGCATCGCGCCTGACGAAGACATACAGTACTCGGCGTTGAGTAGTGCAGGAGCGATACTCGGCGTTGAGTAGTGCAGGAGCGATGTGTTCAGGGCGATGGGAAGGCTGGCGTGGGCAGTAGACTAGAATGCAGAAACTGCCTATCGTAATGTTTACAGTAGGTCGTGACGGGCAGCAGGAGTGAAGTGGTCAAGGTCAGGACTAAGAAGTGAGAAGTTCCCGGGTACGTAGGCATTGTTATGGTTGAAGACTGGGAGAGATCCGTTTCTTGTCCATCCTGTGTGTGAGTGCGTCGCTCCGTGGTTCACTAATTGTAGTGTAGTGTATGTGGCGCAGTAGTCTAAATTCTGTGTGTGTGTCAATTTAGTCTTTCTTAGGACCACATTACACACATACAATAAAGGAGATCTCGCACTCAGGATGGAGGTGAGAAAGGAAACTCAGAATTGCGTAACTACATGTATTGTACAGTATGTACAATACAGTGCTAGGGAATTAATGTATGGTGAGGAGCTTGTTGAGAGGAGGTCTTGTCCGTTTCAGAGTGTGGACTAGGATTGACCACGAGCGAGGCCATTTTGCTGGTTTATAGATGTAGAAACCGTATTGTGACGTAATTTTTGTAATGCAATCAGTGTTCAGTTGGTTCATTTCTTCCATAGTATCTCGTTACGCACACATGCACACCCTGGTATGTAAACCCCAGCGAACTGATAGTTAATTATTACTTTTTTTTCCTTTGCAAACATTACACCAAATTTACACCGTCTATCGCTAGCACACCTACACATCGTTTGCATCCGTACACAACGCTAACACCAAACGCACGGTGAGCACATACAGCAAACATAAACTTACTTCTTTGGTAAGTTAATGTTTAGGTGTTTCATAATGGCTGCCCTTCTTCTCCGCCTGAATTCAACTTATTTATTTAATGTTTTGTGTGCCCATTTAATAGACCAATATTTTATAGGTACAGACAAGATGATGCTGGGGTGAAAATTGTCGAGTATCTAATGAAAGTTTTGAGTCTAGGTTTGTTTGTGCTGAAACGCACGTTTTTTAAACCTGTTCTTTCCATATTGCCCTCAGATATCAGAAATCTTGGTAGATATGAAGCATAATTAAAATCCATTTCTGACATTATTATACTTTTCCCCCTGGTTGAAATGGGGTTAGAAATACTCCAAATAAGGAGATCTAAAGGGATGGTTAAAACAGTCGGCCGTGTATTGACCCAGGCTGCTTGATCCGACTTTCTGCCTCATTTACACACAATTGCATGGTCTCAATTGTTTCTCTTACATACCTATACCTGTATATCATTTCGTACTATTGAATTTTTGTAATTTTTTTTATTTATTTATGGCCTGATGTCGGTCATTATAAACCTGTGTCCGGGTGGGCTAATGCCCGTAAAAAATTAAAGTAGTGATAAACTGTAAGTCGAAAAGACCAAGGATAAGAACATAAGAACATAAGAATGGAGGAAACTGCAGCGGGCCTATTGGCCCATACTGGGCAGTTCCGT